CTTCCTTCCTTCCTTCCTTCCTTCCTTCCTTCTTTCTTTCTTCTTTCATTTTTGGTATTAGGGATTGAACCCAGGGGTACTTAACCACTGAACCATTTCCCCAGCCCTTTTTATTTTTATTTTGAGACAAGGTCTTGCTAAGTTGCTGAGGCTGGCTTTGAACTTGAGATCTCTTGCCTTCGCCTCCCCAGAGGCTGGGATGTATACTACGTCTGTACATGCACTATGGGCCGGGCTTCTCATTCTTAAATATTTACAGGAATTAGATTTTAAAAATTGTGTAATATCCTGTTGTATGAAGGAACAGAAACTTTCCCCTAATTCCCTGATGTTGGGTATTTGAGTTGCTTCTAGTACTTCATTATTTGAAAAAAGTTAGAAAAGGGCATAGGTATACATATATTTTTATGTATATATCTGTTTATTTCCTTAGGTTAGGATATTATCCTAAAAATAAAAGTAGTAGTAGGCCAAATATGTCAAGAAACTTGAAATACTTAGTTTATTCATTAAATAAATAATACAAATTCATTACAGAGAACTTGTAAAACAGAGAAAATTATAAGAAAAAAATAAACATTCCCCGTAAATCACCCACGTATAGCCATTATTAGCCTTTAGCCAGATACTCTGTCTTTTTTCTGCACACAGATAAACATGGTGTTATTGTATTGCATGGTGGTATTGTGTAACATAATTTTTCACTATATCATCAATACTTTAATACGTCATTTGTATTCATCCACAAATGGAATATTTGATAGGCCATTGGATAATACTAATGTAATTTTTCAACTTTTCTACTAAATGTGGGTAAGCTGCTCCTATTTAACACAATGAACAGTTAGTAAGTTATATATAAACATTTTCTAATATTTCTATTAAAAATTCCTAGGAAATCGACCAAAATTATGTCCCAAATTACATTCTCATCAGTGATATGTGAACAGGTCTGTTTCTCTGAACCTCACCAACAATATGATGGTTTTTTTAATTGTTTGCCAATTTCATAGAGGAAAAGGCTTAAAATTCTGAAGAATATCCACCTTAAAGAGATTGTAAAACTTCATTAGTGTAAAGTGAAAATAAGCCAAAACTTTTAAATCATTATCACTAAACTTTTTAAACTGCTTTTTAGTTTAAAAATGTGTGAAGATAATAGAAATCTTATCTGAGGGAAGCCATCAAAATATTTATAGAATAAATAAGATAGAATTTCATATAAGAAAGGTTCAAAAATATGGAACAAGTTTCCATTAATAAATTTCTGTCACATAATTTATAAGTTTAAAAAAGCATTTATACTCAAATGTGATTTTCACTCTGGCTCTTTGTGTTATTTTTCTGTACCAGTTAATTTTACCAAAGTAGATATACTTGAGAGCTGCTCACTCTGAAACTCAGCCGACTTAGTTTTTGGTTGGCAAATCCTAGATGAGGAAGGACAGGGCTTGGCTAGATTCTCGAGGAGGCTTAGTCTCCTGAGTTTGCCTGTTTTCATTAGTAGCAGTTGCAGTTGAAACTCTCACATTACACAGATGCTGCCAGTTCCGTATTGCACACACAGCTCTGGAGGATTCTGGCATCTACTCAATAATCTCATTTAGGCTAAATGGAATACTTTTTTTGTTTTTCTTATGATGAAATATTTCAGGCACTTGAGAAAAGTGCATTTATGTTTTGTTTTGTTTGTTTTGTTTTTTTTCAAGCCTGTGAGTAACATCTTGACAATGTAGTTAGTCCCTAGTGGTTCTCATCCCCTGAGTCCATATAAGGACTTTCAAGGTAAGGTCACAGGGCAGCACCATTCTGTCATACTCTTCAGTGAACTTTGTCTTATGTGATGTTCATACAATTTTAAATATTACCATACTGTTTCATTTTAAGTATGCAGTCAAAGTATATTTTTATTTATTCAATACATAAAAATTGGACAGGTTTATGGTGTGTTTTTGATGCATATATTCATTGTGTAACGTTCCCCTAAGAGTGAGCAATCTGTCTCCACAACCATTTATCATTTTATGGTGGTGAAAACATTCAAAATCCTTTCATCCAGCTTTTATGAACTGTATTATACATAATCTATAGTTACCATATTGGGCAATAGTGTCCTGGAACGTCTTGTTATAACTGTAGCTTAGTATAACTGTAGCTTAGTACCATGACCAGCTTTTCTGCATCCCAGCTCTCTCAACTACCATCACAGCCTCTGGTAACCACCATTCTACCCTCAACATCTAGGAGAAGTATTTTAGATTCCACATATGAGTGAGATCCTCCTGAATTTGACTTTCTGTGCCTGTCAGTTCACATAATGTCCTCGGTTTCAATCACGTTGCCTCAAATGACAGGATTTCATCCTTTTGCAGGGGGAATAGTATTCTGTTATGTATGTATATCATGTTTTCTTTGCCATTCATCAGTTGACGGATACTCAGGCTGATTCCATGTTTTGGCTATTGTGACTAATGCTTCAATTAATGTAGAAGTACAGATATCCCTTTGACATATCAATTTCATTTTCAAATTCTATTTCCTGACCTTTCTACCTTAACATCAAATTTAATTCTGGGGTTGAGTATCAGTTTGGGATATCAATCTGTGACAGTCTCAATGCATTCTAAGCATAATTGCACTCAGTAGTAACCAAAATTACTTGATTTCTGCAAACACAACCAGGACCTGAATTTCACAAAGAGGAGATGAGACAACAATCCATGATTCTTTTTCTCAAGATTGAGAGATGGAAAAAAATAAGTGGAACCACTGTAGAATTCCTTAGTGATAATAATAATATCCACATTGTCTTAATAGTAACAGAGAGGCTGAGAAACGTTGCATCACTTTTCCTTTCTTTCCCACTTCTTCCTACTCTCTAGACTGTTACTTAAGAGTCTAAGAAATACCACTTAACTGTAACCTTTGGAATATTTCCCTCCCTACATTCTTCCCCTCCACTTGTACTCACTGTGTTATATAGGGTTTCCTGTTGTCTTCTTCCCAAAAAGTTTCCTTCTACTTAAATCTCCAAAGTATGTATTTTCTTCTCTCAAACACTCAGCATTTCCTTCTCAGTATTTGAATTACTCTTGCACAGAATTTCCCAAGGGATATTCTATAGCATCTGGTTGTAAGGAATCTTAGTAGATATTGCCAGAAAAGAATCAAGGGAGGGATTCTGTGGCCAAATCAACCAAAGAAATAATATTACATACATAATTTGGTTTGTTTTTTAATTGTGGGACTTTTTGGAAACTTTCATTTGATAATGTCCATTATGAATCTTTGACAGACTGCCATAGTACACAGTTCCCACACTGTGACTGTGGAATCTCCAGTGGAGTTCCTAAGAAGAGACGGTTGTTCTCCTATTTCCCACCTAGTACATAGCGAACACTCAAATGTCACTGAATGACTACATGGGAACGTTTTCATTCAGGTCCCCATGTGACTGGTGTTTCCCTACACATGCCGAGACATTGAAATTGAAATTGACAAAGCTGCAGCCCACTTCCCATTGATGAGTTCCACTTTCACTGGTGAAATCTTCTCACTTAGGGTGGAAAATTAGCCTTGGCTCCTTATCTCCCCATGCTATGGAATGGAAGAGCAGTTTGTCAAATCTTTGTTTGACTTTGGAATGCAATCTTCATACTTTTGTGACTGAGAATCATTAGAATTGACAGAAAGTACAAGAAGAATTTAAAAGAGGAGCAGGTCGTTTCTAATTTGGGTTTTTCAAGGTGGTCCTTCATAACATTGGGAGGATTTCAACTGAGTTTTGATAAATGGGATTTTAATAGGCAGAAGGAGATGAGAAGATAAAAGCAGGTGGATGCCAAGTCAGAAACTCATAACGGGGGTAAGAACATTAGTTTGTGGTCTCCGATTGGAAGAAGCTAGCTACGGATAACTCTGGGAAACACGCAGGGAAGAAAAAGAAGGCTAGCTATGACAGAGACTGTGAAGGAGGAATTAACTGGTAACTCTTTGGATGTAGATGGAGAAGGAAAGAGATAAATCAACATCTAAGTATATGGGAAGTACTGAAAAGAGATGAGCATCAATCAGATAGTGGTTTTAGGATAGAGAGAAAAGGACACAATAGAGAAAGTAGAGGGAAGGTAGTCAAGATTCCCAGATCCACTGACTGTAGAGAAGGGCTAATGTTATGGGTCTCAGATGCCTGAGGTATGTGAACTGAGTGATGGCTCTTGCCTTTAGTTGATATTGCAAATGGAAGAAAAAAA